TGGGAAGTTTCCAGTGAAACCAGATGTCAACTGTGCCAGACCCAGTGTATATCCCTAAAAAAACCTCACAAAACAACAAGAGGCCTTGCTCCAGAGAGCGTAAGTGTGGCAAAACCAAGCTAATGAGCAAGTGAAGTAATATCAATCTCCATTTTACAGATAATTAGTGAGGAGCCCCTGGTGTCAGACCCATCCTCCGCTACAGCCTCTCAGTGACCTCACCTGGTGACAGGGCCCAGGACTGGAAACGCGCCGCTGGGAGCTGGCTGCCAGCCTGCAAAAATTCCGCATTGGCCCCTTCTCCTGGCTTTCACAAGGCTATTAAAGCTTTTCCAACTCACTGCTTGCAGTGTACTGAGAACCAGAGACCCCGGGACAGTCTGGGGGAGCGCTGTGTGCCCTGCGTTACCCACATCCTCAGCATGGTTTGCACTCACATGTAACCCGACGACATCAGATTTCAGACCTAAACTTTCAGATTTATCAGCAGCAGGCAAAATTTCTCAGCAGAGCTGCAGCTGGAAATCCCAAGCTCATACCGAGTTCTGTAACTCAGGGAGAGATTGATTTGGGTACAAAAAATATAAAAATAAAGGATGTGTGTGGAGGAGGTACAGCTCCCCCCAGTACTTCTACTACAAACAAGCTTTCTGCCTCAGCACTTTACAGCACCGTTCTCTTTTCCAGAGCCCCTCGGCTGGAATGCCGCCACACACTGCCCCACAAGTTGCTGATTCAGGCATTAATGCTTCAGGCTTGACTACACAGTGTTTTAATAAAGTAACCTGCTCCCTGGAGCTCACAGAAAGCTCATCTGAAGAACACCACCAACAGCAAATTTCTCATCCGCAGAGAGAGCTGGTAGTTTTTCCCCCAGTTCAACGCCGCTCCTTGATGAAATTCCTTTATCCCACATACAGTTAATCTGGTTTTGCCTCTCCAAACCGTAACATGTGCTCCTGCCCCAGGGGGGCTGGGGAGTCCCTCCTGCCCTCGCCCCTGTGACTCGTGCCCTGTACACAATCATTTTCAGCAGGTCACAGATAGCCATGCTCCATCACTGCTCACGCCCTGCCAGAGCCCCTCAAAAAGGTTGGGAGAGGCAGGACACTCCTCCACATCACTCTTGGTGAGATTTGCCTTCCTTTTTTTACCAAGAAAGACTCAGATAACTCCTGTTTTAGATGGAGAGCATCCCTAAAGCCACCCTGTTTAGTCTCCACACACTGTATCTCCCAAGGAGGGAGCCACACCAAGCACTTGGTGGCATCTCTGGTAACGTCTGCAGGATAAACCCCTCAAAGGTTTCAGCACAAGGAACATCCAGAACTAACCAAAGCGCACGTGAAATCCTACAAGCAGGTCTCCTGATTGCAGTGGGCACTAACAGCAGCACTGCCTGTGTCTTCCCAGTGGGTGATCCTATTTCCAAAACCAAAAAAAAAACAGTAAGGAGGGAAGATGCAGCAGGGAAGGAAAGAAGGCAGCTGGTAGAAAAGACAAACTGGAGCAGTTGCTTAAAATCACAGGTTCTGGAAAGAAAAGAAAAAACATGCATCCTCTGAGGGATCCAGCTTCACATGCTTCAGTAGTGAAAAAACAAAAGCCTTTTAAGCCTCTACTGTAGGGGACAATATGAAAAAATAAGAGCTGCTAATCCTCCCTGACCCTCCCTGTGCTCTGTCTCAGTTCATGTCTACAAAACACCGGTATCATCTCTCACTTTCCAAAAATACTGCTTAGTACCTGCATTTTCATAGCACTATCCCCTGGCATCACAAATACTACCTTTTGTCTTGCTTTTCTCCTCGTCTCAAGATGTACCAGCATAATTTCTTTCTATACCAGTGGCACATTTTATAATGAAAAAGACCCCCCAACTGCTGAATTAAGTTGCTTTTCAATCTTTATCTCCGCTATAGCGCAAGACTCATTTGAAAAAGTGAGTCATTCAAATGATTTAAAGTCTTACACATTTATGAAAATTACAAAACATCTCTCGGATGGTGTAGGAAGAGTAATAAAACCACACTGCACCCAGCGGCACAAAACAACCCAGCCACCTGCCAGTTCACTCTGCTGGGAGCTGCGCTCCCCTTCCCCACCCCTCCTAGGGGGTCGGTTTGCCTTTTAGAGCCTGTAAAAACCCTCTTTTTGTGGCCTCAGTCTCTTTTTCCCCAGCCCTTCCGCACCTACGTGGTCCTTGCTGTGGCAGCGAAGTTGCTGCCAATTTACACTGGGCTGCTCTGCGCGAAGCAGCAGATGCTCCATGACTCACGCAGTGCTTACAGACACAAGTTATGGATAACAGCACGATAATTAACAATACCAAATGTCAGCTCTAAAATCCAAACATGCAGATGTTAATAATGCCCATGGCACATGATCACAGTAATTTGGGAGGCAGGGTCTGCAGCCTTTAATCAGCACCTTGCAATCCTCCAGCACTGTTTGGCCACAGCGTGGTTTCCCCCATAGACAACTCAGACAGAAACCACACAGGAGACTCCGCACATCGCAGTGGGCAAGAAGGTACCAAACCCCCGCCCTGCAGACTCCATGGGGAACCAAATACCATCTACAAAGAAGTGAACGCAATGCAGTAAAAATAAATAAATAAATTGAAAGTAAGAGATGCTGATTTTAATCTGATTTGGACGATTTTCAGTGAGTTCTGGGCATCAAAAAAGAGCCAAGCGTTCAGACAAGACAGACAACTAATTCTGGCCTTGAAAAGGAACAGAAGGAAAGAAAAAGCACCACCATCAGCACTGCTAAGAACTAAATCTCCCTGAGCAAACAGTCCTAGCCCAGCTAAGAAATACACTGCAAGTTAGATTGTAATAAGCACTGGCACACAGTGGCCCTTCCAAAACAGGCTTCAGAGCGCTCCCAGGCAGAGGTATTTCACAGCACTCTCAAGCTTTGCTTTAACTGTCACACAGAAACGCCAGGGATGACAAGAAAAAACTGAAAATACAGGGGGAATCAAAGCTGGGATTTTCCCCTGGTGACAATGTCAGAATTGGCACAGAATCGGTGTTTTCCACGGGCAGGACACACCGCCCGAGTCCCTCTGGGAGCGGCTCCTCCAGCAGCTCCCGGCACCGGCTCCACAGAAACGGCAAGGACCGAGCGCCACCTACCGGCTGCTCCGCCACCTCCCTCCCGCCGCAGCTGGAACCGCGGGCATCTCCCAACCTTCCCCGGCTGCTGCCTCGGGCACAACCACCCGAGAAGAGGGCATACAAAAATATTACAGTTGAAGGGTACGTGTAAGTCATAGAATCCTCAAGCTTTGCTTTAACTGTCACACAGAAACGCCAGGGATGACAAGAAAAAACTGAAAATACAGGGGGAATCAAAGCTGGGATTTTCCCCTGGTGACAATGTCAGAATTGGCACAGAATCGGTGTTTTCCACGGGCAGGACACACCGCCCGAGTCCCTCTGGGAGCGGCTCCTCCAGCAGCTCCCGGCACCGGCTCCACAGAAACGGCAAGGACCGAGCGCCACCTACCGGCTGCTCCGCCAGCTCCCTCCTGCCGCAGCTGGAACCGCGGCATCTCCCAACTTTCCCAGCCTGCTGCCTCGGGCACAACCACCGAGAACAGGACATACAAAAATATTTCAGTTGAAGGGTACGTGTAAGTCATAGAATCATAGAATTGCCCAGGCTGGAAGGGACCTCCAAAGGCCATCTAGTCCGACCTCCCCGCAGTCAGCAGGGACACCCCCAACTAGACCAGGTTGCCCAGGGCCTCGTCGAGCCTCTCCTTGAATATCTCCAGGGATGGGGCCTCAACCACCTCCCTGGGCAACCTGTTCCAGTGCTCCACCACCCTCACAGTGAAGAACCCTCTCCTCATCTCCAGTCTAAATCTGTTCCCCTCCAGCTTGAAGCCATTGCCCCTCGTCCTGTCACTGCAGGCCTTTCTAAACAGGTTCTCCCCAGCCTTCCTGTAGGCTCCCTTCAGGTACTGGAAGGCTGCTATTAGGTCTCCCCGGAGCCTCCTCTTCTCCAGGCTGAACAACCCCAGCTCCCTCAGCCTGTCCTCGTAGTGGAGGTGCTCCATCCCCCTGATCATCCTTGTGGCCCTCCTCTGGACCCTCTCCATCAGGTCCATGTCCTTCCTATATTGAGGGCTCCAGACCTGCACACAATACTCCAGGTGAGGTCTCACCAGAGCAAAGTGGCAGAATCCCCTCTCTGGACCTGCTGGCAACGCAGCTTTTGATGCAGCCCAGGATGAGATTGGCCTTCTGGGCTGCAGCTGCCCACTGCCTGCTCATGTCCAGCTTCTCATCCACCAGCACCCCCAAGTCCCTTTCCTCAGGGCTGCTTTCCAATCCCTCACCCCCTAGTTTGTATTGGTGGTGAGGATTGTTCCGGCCCAGATGCAGAGCCTTGCATTTGCTCTTGTTGAACCTCATGAGGTTCACCTGGGCCCACCTCTCCAGCCTGTCCAGGTCCTTTTGGATGACATCCCATCCCTCTGGTGTATCGACAACACCACACAGCTTGGTCCTTACAGAAGTCCTTACGAAAGAGCCTGGCAAGTCGTGAAGCTGCCTGAAGGGGCCCTGAATGCGACAGCAGGCTGATGAGAAGGGACCGCTCCAGCTGCACAGCGGTCCAGGCATCAGCCCAGCTGAGAGCAGGCACCCCCAAACCAGAAGTTCCACAAGAGGCACTAGACAGTGACTACTGTAACACTGGTTAACAGTGACTATCAGTAGGATTGAAGTTTTATTGCTAGCTATGCTGCCTGCATATAGGAGCCTGGTGTCACAACAGAGCTGGTCAAGAATCTAGAGCCAGCCAGAGAGACAGACCTTGTGAGAAAAGCAAAAAAACCTCAGCATCTATGAAGCTCTGAAGGGGTTTCACAAAACCTCAGAGTTAGCGGGTCACAAAAGTGGTACTAAAAAACAAACAAACAAACAAACAAAAAATCAAAATAATCCCCCCCTGAAATTTAGCTGGACAAACAGGCAGAGTAAAAAAGTTAATAGAAAAGATTTATTGCTTAAAACTGTCCCAGATTATGCAAAAAGGCTAGCAGGAGGTTCCCCTGGGTCAGTCTGCCAGCTCATCTCTCACCAGCACAGGGAATCTCTTGCCGCCTTCACAGAGCTGGGTGTAAATGCCCCGGTAGAGCTGCGCCGCAGAGGCCTCCGGGCAGAGCCTGGACTCCAGGACAGGCAGGAGCTCTGCCATCCCCACCTGGGCAGGAGCAAAGGAGACACGTCACCAGAACCAGTGTGCACTGTTAGGATTCCATGGAGAGAAGTGACTGCATAAATCTAACCAGAGCACTATGACTAACAGCATGCTAATTGATAGAGAGATACTTTCTTTTGTAATATTGAACAAAGGCAGAGGTGTTCATCCTCTGCTCATACAGTACACCAGCAGCCACCCCGTGTTCCTAAAGCAGCAGGAAAAATGGTGGTGCTTTCCCTCTGCTGCAGAGATGGCTCAGTGCTGGAATGAGATCAGCATCCTGGGAGAAGCCGAGGCTGATGTTGACTCAGGAGCTCTGCAACCACTCAGTGAAGCGCTTACTCACCCCGCTGGAAATCCAACCCTTCACTCATGACTGGTCCTGCCACCTCCCAGTTGGGCCACATTAATCCAAGACAGGCAGGCCAACTCCAGCCCAACCAGCAGGAGCTACAGGGGATGCTATAGGTGTCCACCACTCCCTGACCTGGCTTCTGGTTTGTTAAGCCTGGCTCAGGATCTCGGTCCACGCTGGCAAGCAGCCCACTGGCCTGTCCCAGCACAACTGACAGCACAAAGCTGTGGGGTTACAACTGTGACCAACAACTCAAGCACAGGTGAACTTCCAATCAAAAGACAAAAGGCAGCCTTTAGCACCTCATTCTTGAATTAATGCTCAGAAAGACATTTTGCCTGGGATTTTTTTACTTTTCTTTTTCAGCCTGAGCTTTCTGCACATTAAAAACCCACACAGCCTATTTACACTGCCTCCCCAGAAGAGTGGCCGATGAACTGCACATGTCCAGTCACCTCCCTCAAAGCATTTTTCAGAGGTGGAAACAAAGGAAGACCCAAACAGAATAGAGTACAGGGTGTCTGAAGGGGGTTCCCTTCCCTGTTCTCCATAAATCTCTGCATGGGGACAGGGAAGCAGAACACAGTTGCTAATCTCTGGGAAGAGCTGAGAGATGCAGACATGAAAGCTACCCAAGGGGAAAGGTGGCACATGAAGGAGTGCTGCACTGCTCTGCCTCCTGAGACAAAGCCCCTTCTCTTCTATCTGCCAGGTCAGCTCCTGATGCATAGGAATCGCAGAAACAGGCTAAGAGCTACCAGGACTTTTTATGATTCTTGGCATTTCTCTGTGGGAAGGCAATGGACAGGCCTGGCTCAGAGACATGGACATTCTTTCCCAGGGTATTTATCTCGTACCAAGCCCGTTCACTTCACCTGTGCCAAGAATTTCACCTGTCTTGCACACTCTGCACGGAGCTGCTTCAGATACTCAGAGCTCACCCAGCACAAAGCACCTACTTAGATACGTGGGCAGAGGAAATTGAGTCGGTTGCCAAAGCATCAGGCAGCAGGTTTTGGTCACTATTTCATTTTGGGCAGACAAAAATCAAAAACCTCATAACCCATAATTCAGGATTATAGCAAAGTCCCATTTGAAGACAGGCAGCAATCTATCTTCAGCCAGAGGCCTGCCACCAGTCATTCATAACCTCCCTGTCTTGCAAAAAAAATGGCTTTTCCAAAGCCTCTATCATTCAGGTCAATGGCAAAGGTTAGGTCAAAGGAGTAGATGTGATTTCATAGGTCTTCTCTGTCTTTTGCTGTTGCAGGTTGAGAAGAATAAGTGATCCCTCTGAAATAACCACTTTAGTAAGGCTGGTGGAGAGACCAACCTTCTACTGTGTTCTTAGGCAGCCTCAGAACAGTAAAATCAAGACCAGCAGCACAGTGCTTTAAGATTTAAAAGGAAAGGAACAGACAGCAGAGGAGTTCACTAGCTGGAGGTCACGCAGGAAGAGAATGACAGAGTGGGTGAGCTAATGGAACTGTAAAGGGCTGCCAAAAGGGGTCTTCAGGCATTACTCTTAAAAAGAGTTGCTAAAAAAAAACCTAAAAATCTTAGGAGAGGGTCAGACATTTAAAGGCCTTTCCTCCAGCCTTAACAAAAATGTTTAGTCTGTTGATCTAAGCAAGGCAGTGACAGGACCAGGACACGAGGATGAAGACAGAAGCACCCCTGGGAGGGCTCACTGTGCTGCTGCTCCCCCATCAAGACCCCGGGAGTCACTAAAAAAACCCCAAAAATCTTAGGAGAGGGTCAGACATTTAAAGGCCTTTCCTCCAGCCTTAACAAAAATGTTTAGTCTGTTGATCTAAGCAAGGCAGTGACAGGACCAGGACACGAGGATGAAGACAGAAGCACCCCTGGGAGGGCTCACTGTGCTGCTGCTCCCCCATCAAGACCCCGGATGCCAGCTGCTGCCCTACAACTGCCCTTTCCTTTCTCTGCACCAGGATCACTAATGCTTTCAAAAAGACTCACCTTCTGCAAGGCAATTTCTTGGTGCAGCATCGACACTCGCAGCTTCAAGGCAAATAAGTCCCTCAGCTCCTGGGAGCTGGAGTAAGAGAGGAGAGGCACAGCCAGCCCGCCTGCACTGTCACACATCTGTCCCCGGGGAGCAACACAGGCTGGAGAGCAGCTTCCTACGTCCTGGGTGCAGTCTGGGCACTGCCTCACCTGGGACCCCACAGCTGTCAGAGGGGAAAAATTGGCAGGAGGCAGAAATATGTAAGTTAAATCTGTACTTGCAGCATTTGGGATCTACTTACTCTTCCTAGAAATGAATGATTAACGGCATTGCATTAGTCAGGGTCAGCTCCTCACACATGGCATAATCAGGACATCTCAAGCTATGGCACAGAGCCTCCCCCGTCTCTCAGCAGCTCCCTCATTAGCCCTTCTGAACTCCAGCTGACAAAAGTCCCAAGCTGCTCCTGAACACAGATGGGTGGCAAACAGATACCAAGGCTTTGCTTGCCACCAGAGCATTTCACATGCTACATCACCACTCAGGATAACCAGGGGAAAAACTGCATTGGCCCCCAGTGTTGTGTGCACAGGTGGCAAACCAGGGCTCAAGCACAACTGGCCACGTTCATACCCGACTGCAAACCCAGGGGCTGGCTCACCTGCTCGCAGCAGCTGCAGCTTATGCAGGCACTGGGAAACTGTGGTTTGCAAACCCTCCAAGGTTAGAAGGCTTTCATACTCTCTTTGCAGAGTGGGATGGTCTAGAAGGGAAGCGGAGGAAAACCAGCAGGCATAAGCATACTGAAACCTTCCCCCCCGAATACCAGTTTCTAGAATGGCCTTGGGTTCCCCAGCTCCTGCCCCTTGTGTTCAGCACATGCCAAGAACACAAGACACATGGAACTGGAGCCCACTGAAATCATCTTTATTCCACCTTCTTCCCCCTCCACCCCCATTTTTTTCTCCTTACCTGCAGATTCAGCTTCCACATACTGGCTCAGAAGGGATGGGACATCCTGGAGGACCTTTAACTCCTCCTCTATCTCTGCAGGACTGAAGGCTGGCATTGGTGAGCAAAACTCAAAGGCAGCAGCTTAAGGAAGGTTTCACACCACAAGCTCTGTGCACTACCCCTGGGCCAGGCTACCTGGGATCAGGGGCCAAGGGCAAGCAGCCGGGGAAGTGGCATTGCAGGGGGAAGGCGAGGACAGCACAGCTGTGTACAGCGTGTTTGCCTCGTGGCCTTGTTTCTCTGGATGAAAAATTTTATGACTGCACTATTAAAAAAAAAAAAAAACCCACTTCTTAAGAGACCCAGCTTGAACTCCTGTTATTGGAGGCATAACTCTCCTCATCAAGAGCACGCTGCAGTGACTGCACCGCACCACGTGCCCGAGGAAGGTGAGCTGAGGAAGGATACAGTTGCCTGGATCCTCTCCATAAAATGGTTCCTTGCAGCTGCTGCATCCGCACTTGTTTGGCAGAGACGACATCTCTCCCATGCCCTGGAAATTCAGAAGGGGCAGGAGATGGAGGAGTTGTGCTCCATTGTACCAGACAGTGCTCACACCGAGCTGCGACACACCCATATGGCACATCAGCACTTCAAATACCAGCATCTTCCTCACCCTTCACTTTTCCAGGCCATTTACTAGCCATTTCCCCCTGCATTTTTGACAGATAGTATTAGATCAACAAGGACACCCTGCAGAAAGAGTTAGACACTGAAAACACCTATGTTATTTTTCCCAACTTGTTTTGAGGGGGAGGACTTACAGCCATCAGGAGAGAGAAAACACATTTCTATAAGCAGAATGTGAAAATGCAGCACAACAGTGATTCCATTGCATCACCCTACCTGTTTTTATCCCATGGGAAACAACAAATCTTCCCTTCCTTCTTGGAGGGAGGGGAGGAGGGGGAAGGGGTAAGTCATTTGCATTTCTGTACATTTACTCTGTTAGTGTTGATGTGTACAATCAGAAGAGCAGACAGGGCAAATTCTCACCCTAGCTTTTATCACAGCAATTCCTTCATATGCTAATTTTCTCCTTTAATCCTTTTTTTTTGTTTGTTTGTTATGACCAAGTGATATGTTTGGCAATAATCATGACAGCAGTGAATCAGTACCAGGGACACAAAACCAAAGTTTAAGGACAGTCCCATGAGTAAGCTCACCAGGACCTTGTATCACAGTCCTGTTTCTAAAAACATATTATACACATAATTCCAGAGAGGTGCACTTCACTAACAAAGCTTAACAGGGGGATGCACAGTCCTCATAAAATCCTTTAAGTAAAGGACTGCTTTAAAAAGCCAGTACATCTCAGCCAAAACCTGCCACGATTAAGTGAGAGCCATCAGGAGGATGCTTAAAATAGTTCTGCAGTGCCCAAGTGTCTAACCCGAGTGTGCATGTGTCTTCTCTCCATTCAAATGGGTCTTTTAAATCATGAGAGAAACTGCAGTTTTCAGAAACGTATTATGCAAAAAATAGCAAGGTTAATAGAATAGAATAAAACAGAAGTTACTAGGAAAGATGTGTTCCCTCTGTAAGGGATCTTCAAAGCAAAGGTTATTTTCAATCTGTCACAGAGTTGAAAGTAATAGTGAAGAGTGTAAAATTACACCAGAATGATTAGGATGCCGAGAGGCACAATTTACAAGTGAAAATTAAGGGAACCAAGTCTTTACAACTTGAATGGCAACTAACAAATCGGTGTCTGACAAATTGCAGTTCCCGACATTATGCAAAGAAATAGCAAGGTTAATAGAATAGGATAAAACAGAAGTTACCAGGCAAGATGCGTTCCCTCTGTAAGGGATCTTCAGAGCAAAGGTTATTTTCAATCTGTCACAGAGTTATTATGCAAAAAATAGCAAGGTTAATAGAATAGAATAAAACAGAAGTTACTAGGAAAGATGTGTTCCCTCTGTAAGGGATCTTCAAAGCAAAGGTTATTTTCAATCTGTCACAGAGTTGAAAGTAATAGTGAAGAGTGTAAAATTACACCAGAATGATTAGGATGCCGAGAGGCACAATTTACAAGTGAAAATTAAGGGAACCAAGTCTTTACAACTTGAATGGCAACTAACAAATCGGTGTCTGACAAATTGCAGTTCCCGAGAGAAGGAGGGATTCCTGAGGGTAGTGCAAGGAGCTTGTTCTGGGCTGAGAGACACAGGACTAACTTTTCTTCTAATGCTGGGGAAAAGTGCACTTTTAGAAGACTCTAGTGTCTGAATTCATGAAAATGTTTACTTTATACCCAGCCAGGCTCTGTGGGATTCAAGGTGTCAGTGTTTCAAGCCTCGCCAGGTGCAGGAATGAGGAGGAGCAAGGCCTGGGCACTTGACCCAGGCTGGCCAACAGGATTATTTCATACCACAAACATCACATTCGATATAAATTAGAAAAGTCTGCTGTGTAGCTCTCTCTCCCTTGATGGCAGTGGGTTCAGACAACTCCTTGCCCCGGTGCCAGACCCCTGAGCACACCCCAGTGCCAGACCCCTGAGCACTCCTGCAGCACTGTCAGACCCATGTTTGAAGCATTCCAGTACCCTTACAACCTGTGGATTAACTGGGATTAGCACTCTGAAAACAAAAGTAACATTAGTGGCTAGAATAACACAAAAAGCCAATATCCTCAGAAACAGCCCTGCAGAAACACGCTGTATTGGACAACGCCTGCTCTGAGCTCAGGACCCACACGCTGCGGGGTCAGTCCCCCCCACTGACCCCCAAACCAGCCACGTCTCCCCCATCTACCCTAAGCACTGCTCTGAGCTCAGGACCTACACACTGCGGGGTCAGTCCCCCCCCATTGACCCCCAAACCAGCCACGTCTCCCCCATCGCCTGCTCTGAGCTCAGGACCCACACGCTGCGGGGTCAGTCCCCCCCACTGACCCCCAAACCAGCCACGTCTCCCCCATCTACCCTAAGCACAGGGTAGTTCTAGCCTGGCCTGATCAGGCTGGGCTTACCTGGAGTTCCTGGAATAGGCTTTCCTGTAGGGAAGGGGTAGCCTCAGCTGGCACCTACAAAACAAGAGAACCATCAAACCTGACTGCCAGAGAGCAGCAGAGCCTTCAAATAAAGAAAGTAACATTTAGTTTAAATTTGAAATTAATTTAGCTATAATGGGAGATGTCAACAACCCTGGAGGCTGAACCCACAACTGCCTTCAGCCTGTCCTCCAGGAAAGAGGCTCAGTCTGCTCGTTCATTCCCACAAGCATCGCTGAGCTGACCTCCCACATCTTATCCCAGCCATCAGAGGTTCACCCAGGGTGAGGAGCTGGGAACCAAGCCCTGACAAGGCAGAGCACACACACGAAACAGCGTCTTTAAGTAAGGTGATCACTACAGACACGTGCACAGTCACAGCAATAAAGGGAGGTTTGCTTGCTCTTGGCAAGGCAGCTTTCACTGAATTTCACTGAATTTCACTGAATTTTAGAGTTGGAAGGGACCATAGAGATCATCTAGTCCAACTCCCCTGCTGAAGCAGGATTGCCTAGAGCTAGAGCATGTTACTCAGGAGCATCCAGGCGGGTCTTGAAAATCTCCAAGGAAAGGGACTCCACACCCTCCCTGGGCAGCCTGTTCCAGGGCTCTGTCACCCTCACCGTGAAGAAGTTTCTCCTCATATTTGAGTGGAACCTCTTCTGTTCCAACTTGTGCCCGTTGCCCCTCGTCCTCTCACTGGGAACCACTGAAAAGAGTCTGGCTCCCTCCTCCTTCAACCCTCCCTTGAGATACTTGTAGGCATTGATAAGGTCTCCCCTCAGCCTTCTCTTCTCCAGACTAAAGAGTCCCAGCTCTCTCAGTCTCTCCTCATAAGGGAGATGCTCCAATCCTTGAATCATCTTTGTTGCCCTTTGCTGGACTCTTTCTAGTAGTAGCTTTGCTTGGCACCACATGGCACTCAAAGAAATGGGAAAGGGACACTTCAGCTCCCACTGGGAATACGCATCTTAACCCCAAAGCAGAGTAATCCCTAACGTGTTATTGCAAAAACCTGTCAGTTAGCAGTTACAGCTAGTCACATGCAGACTACCAACACAAGACCACAGTTGGGATTTTAAGTAAATAAACATTTGAATCCAGATTCCTCTTCCCCCAGCGACTGTCACTCAGTGTCCAGCATCCCTTCCAACACCACGAGAACAGGGATAACTTCCTCCCTGCACAAACACAGGAGTTGGGCTGTGGCAGCTGAGAACAATTCCTCAACACTTTCCAGGTGCAAATTTGAACTTCACAGTTTCTTCAAAGCAAACATTACAACGAAAAGAATATAGACATTTTTTAAATTAAGACAGACTGGTCTGAATTCAAATCTTCTAAGTCAGAATCTCAGTAACATCCACTTCATAATTCTTCCTACCCCAAGCACTTGAAACAACTGCATTCTAGTCAATACTGACTTGTTTAGTTACACCAAGTATCTTAGAGGTTAAAAGGGCTAGCATTAAATCCAGATGCCATCTCTCCAAACAGCACAGGGCATATGCTTTTTGGAAAGAGAGAATTCATGCATTATATATTGGCATTAAGTAAAAAAAAAATCTAAAAAAATCAATAAGTCATAATAGAAAGTGCACTCAGAGGAAAACTAAGGCTCAAGAAAGCTCTACAGAGAGCTTTCCCAAAGAGTCACGGGGGGTATGAAATATCAATTGTCTTAATTAAAAGACTTTCCAAGTTCCAACCATCCAAGAGTAAGCCCTTAAAAATGATATCACGTGCTCAACCACAACAAAGGCTTTTAAACTTAGGTAAAAGCCTTTAAACTTAAAGGCTTTTAAAGAATCCTTCCCCTTAAGAAGGGACCGAGGAGCAGTGAAACTCAGCTGGTCTCGACAGAGCAGTCCAGGAGACCAGGCTTTGCTGATGTGCCAGCCCAAATGCCAAGCAGAACAAGAGTGAGGTGCTCATCTTCCAGCTCTTACCCCTTCTCCTGCAGCGTGACTGTCCGACGTGAGGCACTTCTTCCCAACACACCTTCAGTTGCAGGATCCTCCTTGCTGCTGGACTCTCCTAGGGAGCCACAACCTTTTTTCCCTGCATCCAATAGGTGCCTGCCAGCAGCTACAGAGTTCTTTCCCCCAGCTGAATCCCCGACAGAAAAGCTTTGCTGGTCATTAAAGGCAGATTTGGATAAGCCAGGTGTCTTTTGGGGTTCAGCTGACACACAGGTCTCTCTACCACCGACTACTGTCTTGCAACTCCTTCCTTGTTTGCCAGTCACCCCTTTTGAGGGGTTCTTCCCAGCTGTCCTGGGACCTTGAGAAACACATCTGGCTGGGGCTCTCCTTTGCAGTTTTTTCACGTCTGGCTCAGTCCTGTAAGGGGCTCTTAGCTGGTATGGAGAGGGCTTCTTCAGAGAGGCAGGCTTTTTGCTTACAGCTCTCACCTTTGTGCTCTCAGGAACATCCCCAACAGGTACAGGCACTTGTTGTTCTTCAGCATTCTTGAGGGCAGGTCCCTCACCTGCACATTTCTTTTCTGTAGTGATCTGAGCTTCTAATGGAGTTTTCAAGATGCTTTTCCTGACTTTCAGTGCCTTTGCTAAGGCCCTGTTCAGCAGTTCCAGCTCCTCCAGCTCCCTGGGCGAAGGCCTGTTCTCTGCAAGAGGAGAAAATATATCAGAAGGTCCAAACCTGGGGAGGCTGAGGGGAGACCTTATTGCTCTCTACAACTCCCTGAAAGGAGGGTGTAGAGAGGTGGGGGTCGGTCTCTTCTCCCAAGTCACAGGCGACAGGACGAGAGGAAATGGCCTCAAGTTGCACCAGGGGAGGTTCAGGCTGGATATTAGGAAAATTTTTTTCACTGAAAGGGTTATCAGACATTGGAATGGGCTGCCCAGGGAGGTGGTTGAGGCCCCATCCCTGGAGGTGTTCAAAAGACAGGTTGATGTAGTGCTGGGAGGTATGGTTTAGTGATGGTGATGCTTCTTGTTTGTTGTGCGGGTGTCTATTTTTGTCAGTTAGGTTGACGGTTGGACAAGATGATCTTTGAGGTTTTTTCCAACCTAGAAGATTCTGCGACTCTGTGATTGCCCATTTATCACTACACCAACTCACTCTTCCAGGTGCTGCAGAAGGAAACTGAGCCCAATGAATGGTGCAGTGGGTATTTTGGCCACACTCCCAGAGCAACTACACAAAGGATGCAGGCAGACTCGCCAAAAGCCTTGAAGGCCTAGGATGGATGTGAGCTACAGGAGGAGACAGTTCCCCTCCCTTTCACCAACAAGTGGCAACCACCATGTCTTGGTGAGGCCCCAAGACACCTCATTGCTGGCCCACAGGAGGAGACAGTTCCCCTGAGTCAACCTCCCCTTCGCCAACAAGTGGCAACCACCATGTCTTGGTGAGGCCTGAAGACACCTCAATGCTGGCCTTGGTTACCGTGGGATGACTCCAAGCTAACAGCAAGGGGGAAAGAGGGAGGCAGAAGGTAGAAGGGGGTTTCAAGTCAATGCAGAGCACTGGAAGGAACTCTAACTCCAAAGCGAGCTCCACCACGGCCAGGCCCTGGGCCTGTGTGACATGAGGAGTCACCAGGCCAAGAGAGAAGGGCTCACCTTGTCCATTGCCGGCGCCGGGCTCTGGCTGCGGCTGCTCCTCTTCCTCACAGCCCCTGGGGGGGAAGAAACACAGTGCCCAGGGCCAGCATCGCTGTGCGCCGACGGGCTCGGCTCCCCACACGGGCCGCGGGGCTCCCACACAGCTGCGGGGACACAATCACCCCTCCTGCCGGCCCCGGCCGGGTCCCACCGCCTCCCTCCCGGCCCAGGCCCGGAGCCGCACTCACCAGGGCCGCAGGAGGGCCCGGCTCCGCTCCGCCCGCCGCTCCAGCTCCCGCCGCCGCTCCGCGCCCTCGCTCAGCGCCGCCGACAGCGCCGCCGACAACCTGCAAGGCCCAGCGCCGTCAGCGGC